GCACCAAAACATAACCCTTATGTCAGAGACTCTTCAACAATTACTAAGTACTTACTATGTGTAAATCACAATAGATACACCAAAGGACCCTGGTACATGTTAGAAAAAAAGTTTAAATCTTTTATATTTCAGTCTTTCAATCTCTTTTCCTAAAGTGCAAGTCTGACCATGCCACTCCCTCTTGCCTCAAGATAGGCTAAAAACTCCTCCGTTTGGCATTTAAAGCCCTTCACAGTGTGGCTCCAGACTATTAGTTAAGCACCAAACATCTATTAATCACCCCCTCTATCATTTCAACTCTTTCATTTATCTTCAGTCTTTCCCTGTCTACTGACTGCTTCCCTGTTGCCTATAAATATGCCCATGTTTTCCACATCCTCAAAAATTTGGGGCAAATTGCCTACTAGTAGACAGTTTCCTTCCTAAGGTTTTTCACACCCTGGCATCACCCGACTTCCCCTAATGTCTTCATGATACTCTTCATTTCATAGTGTAACCACAGTTAAGGAAAGCAGGGAATATTTAGCAGGGTTAACTTTTAGGGCAGCTAGGTGGATAGAAGTCAGGAAGATCCATCTTCCTGGGTTCAAATCTGGCTTCAGATACTTACTAGCTGTGTGACCCTAGGCAAGTCACTTAACTCTGTTTGCCTTAGTATCCTCATCTGTAAAATGAGCTGAAGAAGGAAGGAGCAAACCACTCTGGTATTTTGCCAAGAAAATCCCAAATGGGGTCACAAAGAACTGGATACAACTGAAATGACTGAACAACAACAAACCTTCAGGACCCACATTCCTGGAAAGCAGCAATGCAGCAGCTGAAGTTAATGGCCCTCTGAAATAGGCACCACTTAAAGTCATACTGTGAGACTGCAGTTCCTTATATATTTTGGAAATGAGATCTTTAGCAGAGAAACTTGCAGAAAATATTTTTCCCCAGCTAACCGTTTTCCCTCTAATTTAATTGCATTGATTCTGTTTGTGTAAAAAGTCTAATTGTATTTTATATAGTGAAAGTTTCTCTGTTCGAAGGAAGGCAAGAAAGAGGGAAAGATTCCTTGTCATGACAAAGCTCCCTGAAAGTCATAGGAAGTTTGGTTTCGCTTCCTCTGCAAATTTAAGGTTGTGTTCCCCGGTATTATCTATAGCCTGTTGTTGTCATTGTTTATCCTTCGTTTTCTTTTTTTTCCTTTCTTAGGCAATGGAGTTAAGTGACTTGCCCAGGGTCACACAGCTAGTAAATGTCAAGTGCCTGAGGTCACATTTGAACTCAAGTCCTCCTGACTCCAAGGCTGGAGCTCTATCCACTGTGCCACCTAGCTGCCCCCATCCTTCATTTTCGAAAAGGACAAATGACTCACAGGGTAATGTCTTGACTCCTGTGTGAATTGGATTTAAGTGAGGCGGAGTGGCACAAAACCATCAACCTCACTCTCTCTTCCAGTCATTAAAGTCTAGTGGCAAGACAAAAGTCAAGATGACTGGCGATAGACCAGGATGCAGTGGATGACCCTGCTGTCTTCAATGTCTGACCAAGCTGTAAGCATTCCACAGCCTCATGGCGGTTGGAACAAACTGTTCTCATCTACTCATTCTACCAGAGGAAATCTTCATACATGCTGGGGGCAGACATCACCCTAACTCACTGAGGAGTTTGAGGCCTGTCAGTTACCCTCAACCTGATTTAGCCTGTCTGCCAAGATAGTTAGACTGGAGTGTGGTTGCTATGTATGCTACAGCTTCTTGGGAACACAGGTGAGAATTGAGTCACTGGTGGACACCAGAGATAGATGAGCAGCCATGAAAAGTGCTTGGCAAGTCCTCACACTAGAGGTGCTAGTCCTCCCTGAATACCTTATACATCCCTATATACTGTAGATTTGGCTTGTACCACAGTGCTGCCTGAGGTCTTGGGTGCCCTCCTGAATTCTCCCTTTACCATCTTCCCAGAAGTCCTAAGACTCCCTAAAGAAGCAAACCTGAAGTCCAGAAACTGCATCAATTAATGTGAATAAATAACTGGAAGTTTTACCAAAATGTGTTCATCCTGTATGGTCCCTACTGAAAGCACTTTTAGATGCTCCCTGAAATAGCATTTGAGTTGGATTTTAAAGAACCATTAGGATTTCAAAAGGGAATACTATGAACTAAGGCACAGAGGTATTTATGTTCACAAACTGGAAAGTAATCCAGTTTGGCTGAAGTCATAGAGTGTGTAATAGGGATCAATATTAAAGAAATAATGGCACCAGATTGCGAAAAACTTTGCCCAGTAAAGTATAGGCAGGGTCTATTAAGGAGAGTGACTTCACAGAGCAAGCAGTCTGAACTCCAACTTGCCATCCTGTGGTTTTGAAACAGGAAAGATTTGAAGAGCCTACAAAGTTTTGTCTGCTGACAACATGGTGGGATTGTGCTTGCCCTGATAAGGAGAAGCAGTGGGACTGACTTGCACAGTCACAATAGGAGCAATATGACTGTGGTTTGTTTGTGTTGTGTTGTTTCACAGTAGTAACAGCTGAAAAAATGGAGAAGTGCCCAGGTGGATTTATGGTGGAGAAGATCAGAAACAAATCACAACTGAATGACTCTCCTTTGAAGTAATGACTATTATCATGAACACCTAGAACCCTTCCTTGCTCACTGATGTGTTTAGGGAGTGATCTGCTAGAACAGAATTTGCTGTTTGGCCAACTGTACCTATTATGGATCTATTGCAGGGGTTGGCAACTACAAAATCCAGCTCACTGCTGGTTTTGTATGCCCAAGCTAAGAATGGTTTTTACATTTTTAAATAAAGTTTTATTATATTTAAAAACTTAAAAACCATTCTTAGCTCTGTGGACATACAAAAATAAGTCAGTGAGCTGGATTTGACTCTTGCTCCATACTTGCTCTTTTGGAACCCAATGACTTTTCCACTCTCCATTCCCACTCCTTTGCCTTAATCTCTTTCTTTGTTCTCCTCTTCCCCACTTATCAGGGTGTGCCAAAACATCATTACCTTTTGGAATTTTGTGATCCTTTAGGGCTTTTTTTTACTGTTTGTACTTTTGTATGTGGTTGTTCTTTCCACTTATATTGTTATAGTCATAGTGTACTTTGTTTTCTTGGTTCTGCTTGCTTCATTCTACATCAATTCATATAGGTCTGTTCATGTTTATTCATTGCATTATTTATTACAGCACAGTAGTATTACCTTACATTTATATACCACAAATGGTTAGCCATTCCTCAATCAATGGGAATCTACTTTGTTTCTAATTCTTTGCTATTACAAAAATTGTTAATTATTTATGAGAAATAAGTATATTCTTTATCAGTTCTGTTTACAAGGCACCATAAGTTTGTAACTCAAGTCTCACCAGCAATTTGATCATTTCTATATTTTCCTTTTTCTCTTTTTTTTGTTAGACTTCCCAAACTGAAAGATATTTTAGTTTATAGTCACTCCTGTGTTACTGTCTATGTCTTCTTGTAGCTCAGTTACTATTTCCTTTATTAATGGAGATGCTAAGGATCTTGAAGCATGTAAGTTTAATATTGATATTGGTTTGTTTATATAATTTCTTTCAACAAAATATAATTTCCTTGTTTATACCTTTTAGTGTTTTGAATGTTTGTTTTTGCTTTGTCTGATAGCACGATCGAAATATCTGCTTTTGTGGATCTACTTGGTACAAAGTTAGATTAATATGAATACAAAATAGTATTAAGAACCTATATAGAGAGCTGGCCTCAAATCCAGGGAGACTTGGGTTCAAGTCCCACCTCTGACACTGTGTGGTCCTGGATAAATCATTTAACCTCAGTGCTATAGGCCTGTAGTGTCAGACTCAAATAGAAATAGGGGCCGCTAATCCATACATAAAGATCTCTGCAGACAATTTTTTGACTAGTTTTAAAATGTAGTTTTATGCGTGCACACACATGCATGCATACACACATATATAATTGTATTTTTATTTATTTTGTGAAAAATTTCCCAATTATATTTTAATCTGGTTTGAGGCCCACTTGGGACTATTGTGGGCTTCAGGATTGACACCTTTGATCTAGGCAATTTTCCTAGACTGTGAATTCTTGAGAAGGTGCTGAATTTCCTCACCTGGAAGTTCTTTAAGGCATAATGAGGATTTGGAGACAGGCAGCCTAGATTTAGATATGGGGCAGCTAGGTGGTGCAGTGAATATAGTGCCAAGTCTCCAGTTAGGAAGACTTATTTTTGTGAGTTCAAATCTGACCTCAGACACTTACTGTGTTATGTGAACCTGGCAAGTCACTTAACCCTGTTTGCCTCAATTTCCTCATCTGTAAAATGAGCTAGAGAAGGCAATGGCAAACCACTCCAGTTCTTTGCCAAAAAAAACCCAGATGAAGTCACGAAGAGTATGATGTGACTGAAAAATGAGTGATACAAAGTAAATTTTCCCTCTTTATTCTAGTACCTTCCCTCTGTTAATTATTTCTTATTTATCCTGTATATAGCTTGCTTTGAATATACTTGTTTGCATGTAGTACCCCGTTAGATTGTAAGCTCCTTGAGGGCAGGGAATGCTTTTTGCCCCTTTTTGTATTCCCATTGCATAGCACAATGGCCAGCACTTAAAAAGTGCTTAAATGCTTATTGAATAACTGACTGCCTTGGCGCGCGCGCGCGCACGCACACACACACACACACACACACACACACACACACACACAAAACAGATACACAGACCCTGACACACAGACAGACACAGACACACACACGCGCACACACACACCTTAGATGGGGACAAGGAATGCGGCTTGAATCTTGACTACCTGTACTTGAACCGCTCCTCCCCTAAACAGCTGGCGTGCCTGATCCATCCCTCATTCCCCACCCACCTCGCCTCCCAGTGTTTACCCCAGGCCCCACCCTGGCCTTCCTATTGGTCGCTTCAGAGGGAGGCTAGCGCTCCCTCTTCTGATTGGCTGTCCAGGGGGAGGCTCGCTTCCTCGCCCCCTCCTAAAGTGCCACTTGGAGGTTGCTACAGCGTGGAGGTCTGCTGCCGTTTCTGGACTAAGATGGCGGCAGTGAGAGTCCTGAGGAGCTGGAGTCGGAGCACCCGGCACCTGGTAAGGCTGGAGGGACCGACGGACGCGCGCGAAGCCGGCCGCCTAGTGTGCCGGGCCCAGAGCGTGGGTTTTAGCCTCTCGCGAATTGGGTGGGGGGGTCGATGCGGGTCTTGGGGAGGGGGTGACTGAGGAGAGAGGGAGAAACCTCCCAGTGGGGACTAGGGACAGGGAGCCGCGGGGAGGGGGCGAGCGGCGCTCTCGGCCTGGACCCCGGCGCCGTCCGAGCCGCTCCCGTACCGCTGGTCCGCACGCCCTCGTCCTCCTTTATGAAATGACCTCCACCCCCGCGGGTCCTGGCACTCACTCCTCGGCCTCGGCGTCCCGCATCCTCCCTCCCGGGCATCCCCTGCGGTCGCGGGATCGATGACTCGATCTCCTCGGCCAGGAGCCTTGCTCCCCCGGCGGGGCAGCGCTCGTTCTTCCCTTTGCCGTAGCCTCGGCTGCCTCCCCGACCCCTTCTCCCGCCTGCTGGGCCCCACGTGGACCTGCCAGTGTCGCTTCCATCGTCGGGCCGGTCCCCGGATACCTGTCTCCCATCCCACATTCCAGAAGCGGGAGAGAGGATGGCGAGACTCGGGCCGCCAGTGAGTGCTTCCCTGCTTTTGCTCCGCGGTGAGGAGAGATGTGCAGAACTGAGTGTGAAAAGTGCTCAAGAGAGCTGCTACCCCACTCTGGTATCTGTGACGTTATTGTTTTCCTGACATCCCCCCCCCCCACTTCTCCCCCACATCACCTTGAATTTATTTATTTTTTACATATTTTGTATAGATACAAAGTGTCCCAAAAGTCTTAGTGCGGTTTTAAGCTTTGGAGACATCCTGTACTTGTGTGTGTTCTTGGAATAAGTCGTTTCAGTTCCCACTTCTGACAAATTCTGTATCTGCGACCCTTGGGACCTCTCTGTGTTCTAGGCAACTCTCCAAAACAGGAGTTGGTTTTTTTTGTTTTTTTTGTTTTTTAAGAACTTTTAAAAACAAACAAAAAAACCCAACTTATAAAGTTAAAAAAATTGATAACCGCATTTCACTGTAACTGACTTCCATTGTAATCCTATGTCTTTTATGCATCTAAAAGCATTTTCTGAGTCCAAAGGCTTCACTAGACTACCAGAAGGTAGTGGACTATAACACAAAAAAAGGTTATAAACCTCAGGGCTGGTAAATTGTAGAGGTTTCTAACTGAATTGGTGGAGGGAGTTTCTTCATCTGGTAATTCCTTATATCAGTTAAATCACAAGTCCAGTCCCTATTCCTATTCCTTATGTGTGTGTACATGTTATTTTTCCTTATAAACTGTGAGAACAGGCATTTCAACTGTCTTGACCTTGGTTTTTTCCTCCCTAAAATGAGAGTTTTGTCTAGATAAGGGGCTCAATCTTTTTGTGTGTTGGAGCTTTTGACAGTCTGATGAAACTTTTCAGAATAATGTGTATAAATACACAAAATAATATACAAAGAGTTACAAAGGAAACCAATTGTATTGAAATGCTGTTATAAAAAATATGTATTTTACAAACAAGTTCTCAGATTCCAGATTAAAAATCCTTAGGCCTAGATGACATCTAAGATATTCCTGATCTAAACTTTGTGAAACGATGTATTCCATATGTAGGACAGATAATAAGGCACAATAATAATAATAATAATAATAATGATAATGATAGCTAACATTTATGTACATGTTTGATAGAATTCGCCTGTAAATCCATCTGGCCCTAGAGATTTTTTCCTAGGGAGTTCATCAATGGCTTGTTCAATTTCTTTTTCTGAGATGGGGTTATTTAAGTATTTTATTTCCTCTTCTGTTAATCTGGGCAATTTATATTTTTGTAAATATGTATCCATTTCACTAAGATTGTCAGATTTGTTGGCATGTAGTTGGGCAAAATAATTCCCAGTTGTTGTTTTAATTTCCTCTTCCTTGGTGGTAGTTTCACCCTTTTCATTCTTGATAATAGTAATTTGGTTTTCTTCTTTTTTTTTAAATTAGATTAACCAAAGGTTTATCTATTTTATTGGTTTTTTCATATTAATATTTCTAATTTGGTGTTTAATTGAGGATTTTCAATTTGTTCTTTTTCTAGTTTTTTAGTTGTGTGCCCAGTTCATTGATCTCCTCTTTTTCTATTTTATGTATGTAAGTATTTAAACTTCCCCTAAGAACTGCTTTTGCTTCATCCCATAAGTTTTGGTATGTTGTGTCATTATTGTCATTCTCTTGAATGAAATTATCGATTGTTTCTATGATTTGTTCTTTAACCCAATCATTTCTTAGGATTAGATTATTTAGTTTCCAATTATTTTTTAGTCTATCTTTCCATGGCCCTTTATTACATATAATTTTTATTGCATCATGATCTGAAAAGGATGCATTTAATATTTCTGCTTTTCTGCATTGAATTGTGAGGTTTTTATGCCCTAATACATGGTCAATTTTTGTGTATGTGCCATGTACCGCTGAGAAAAAAGTATATTCCTTTCTATCCCCATTCAATTTTCTCCAGAGGTCTATCATACCTAACTTTTCTAATGTTCTATTCACCTCCTTAACTTCTTTCTTGTTTATTTTGTGGTTAGATTTATCTAGTTCAGAGTGTGGGAGGTTGAGGTCCCCCACTAGTATAGTTTTGCTGTCTATTTCTTCCTGTAACTCCCTGAACTTCTCCTCTAAGAATTTGGGTGCTATACCATTTGGTGCGTATATGTTTAGTAATGATATTACTTCATTGTCTATGGTGCCTTTTAGCAGGATGTGGTTTCCTCCTTATCTCTTTTGATAAGATCTATTTTTGCTTTTGCTTTGTCTGAGATCAGGATTGCTACCCCTGCTTTTTTTACTTCACCTGAAGCATAATATATTCTGCTCCAGCCTTTTACCTTTACCCTGTATGTGTCACTCTTTTTCAAATGTGTTTCCTGTAAACAGCATATTGTAGGATTATGGTTTTTAATCCACTCTGCTATACGGTTCCGTTTTATGGGAGAGTTCATCCCATTCACATTCACAGTTATGATTACTATCTGTGTCTTTTTCTCCATCCTTTTTCCCCCGTTTATGCTTTTCTTTCTCCTTTTTCCTTTCCCCCCCTCACTAGTGTTTTGCTTTTGACCACCGCCTCCTTCAGTCCCACCTCCCTTCTATTATCCCTTTCCCTTTTCTTCCCCTTTACCCTTATTGCTTCTTCCCTCTCTTCTATCCCCCCTCCCTTTTCTATCCCCTTTTCCCTCCTACTGCCTGTAGTGCAAGTTAGACTTCTATACCTAACTGATTATGATATTCCCTTCTTGAGCCAAATCTGATGAGAGTAAGGTTCAAGCAATGCTCATCCCCCTCCCTTCTTTACCTCTGCTCTAATAGGTTTTTGTGTCTTTTCCTGTAATGTAATTTACCCTTGTCGGCCTCCTCCTTTCTCAGTACCTTTTCTTAGCTCAGACTAATCCATTTACTTGGATCCATTTAACCCACTTGATTAAATTTTTTTTTTTATCATTACATCAAAGTCAACTTATATCCACCCCCTTTATGTATACTCCTTTAACATGGTACAATAACAGTACAGTTCTCAAGAGTTGCAAGTGTCATCTTCCCTTGTAGGGATGTAAACAGTTTGCCCTTATTAACAACACATTGTGTCTTTCTGTCCCATTTACCTTTTTATGTCTCTCTTGAATCTTGTACTTTAAGATCAAATTTTTTGTCGAGCTCTGGTCTTTTTATCAGGAAGGTTTGGAAGTCCCCTATTTCGTTGAATATCCATCTCCTCCCCTGAAAAATCATGCTCATTTTCGCTGAGTAGTTGATCCTTGGCTGCAATCCAAGCTCCTTTGTCTTACTGAATACCATGTTCCATGTCCTACGGTCTTCTAATGTAGAAGCTGCAAGGTCTTATGTAATCCTGACCGTGGTTCCATGATATATAAATTTTTTTCTTTCTGGCTGCTTGCGGTAGTTTCTCTTTAATCTGGTAATTTTGGAATTTAGCTATTTTATTCCTTGGTGTTTTCAATTTGGGATCTCTTTCAGATGGGGAGCGGTGGTTTCTTTCTATAGTTATTTTACCTTCAGGTTCTAGAACTTGAGGGCAGTTTTCCTTTATGATTTCCTGAAGGATATTGTCCAGGCTCTTTTTTTCATCATGATTTTCAGGTAGGCCTATGATTTTAAATTGTCTCTCCTGGATTGGTTTTCCAGGTCAGTTGTTTTACCCATGAGGTATTTTACGTTTTCATCTATTTTGTTTCATTTTTTTGTTTCTGTTTGACTGATTCTTGCTCTCTCATAGAGTCATTAGTTTCCATTTGTTCAATTCTAATTTTTAACATATTGTTTTCTTCTGTTAGATTTTGTACTTTCTTGTCCAATTGGTCAATTGTATTTTTAAGGGATTTGTTTTCTTCAGTGTACTTTTTTTCCACTTGGCCAATTGTGTTTTTTAGGGACTTGTTTTCTTCAGTGTACTTTTTTTCCACTTGGCCAATTGTACATTTTAAGGACTCCTATACCTCTCTCATTTGACTTTTAAAATCCTTCTTGAGCTCTTCTAAGAAGGCTTTTTGGGCTTCAGACCAATTCATATTCCCTTTTGATGTTGCAGATGTGGGTTTGATGACAATGTTGTCCTCTTCAGAATTTCTATCTAGATCTTCACTCTTCTCATAATATGAATCTATCTTACGTTTCTTTTTACTCATGGTGTTTCTTTATTCCCTTTAAAGAGATTATGCTCTCCTGCTGGGGAGCAGAGGACACTGACCCAAGCTTCTTGTGTTGGGAGCCTAGGTCTTGGTCACTGACTTTGTATGCTGGGGCCTCTTATGTTGGCAATTGGAGGGCTGTAGGGTTCTGGCAGCTTACCTGGTGTTGGGCTGGAATCAGTAAGGCTGGGACTTTCAGGCAAATCTAGGTTGCCTGCTTCTCTTTTCCTTTAGCTTTGTTCAGCTCCTTTTAGATGGGTGCTGCCAGGTGTTTATCTGTCTAGGGCCCCTTGCAGTGCCCTCTTC